TGCTTTTTTTTTTTATTTCATTGTTTGATGTGGTTTATAAACCTTACAAAAAATGATTCAGTGTAAGCGATCTGGGATTGGAAAGGAAATATTTGTTGCAGATTACTTCCTCAACACAGAATAAATCACTGTAAGTTCAGACTCAAACATCAGGGGCAGGAAGAAATGCCAAAAATTCGATTCACAGGTACTATCTCACAAATCACAATGCACGTAACCAGTCAGGAAAACAGCTCACTCTCTGACCAACGCGATAGCCAAAATTTTCAAATTTTATTTTCTCTTTGGGAGAGGACACTCAATTTTTGCATATCAAAATACTTTTATAGCAATTCCTGCGACTGACTTGTTTCTAATTTAAATATTCTGCCTTCAGCATGTCATGTGGAATAAGTGCCCTTTTTCTTGGTAAGTAATTTTCTTTTTCACCACATTTTCCATTGTAGGATACACGTGACAGCCTGTCGCTTGGTTTGACGAGGTAAGTTTCTGTTTTCTTTGCTATATTCAGAAACAAAAAAATGAGTTCTATCTGAAGTAATAAAAAAAAAAAAAAAAGTGGCCAGTATTTAAGGTTTGGTTGTTTTTGTTTAGTGACATATCAACACATATATGGGTTATTTAATGCAGAAATCTAAATATGAAAATTGTAACCTTATAATTCAAGAGAATAACATTATTTCATGATTAAATTATAATTACTTAGCTACATTTTGCATTTTTTTTTCTTTTTTAACCAAATAATCTTACAAAATCAAAAGAGAAGAAAAACTTGTTTCACCTTACAAGAAATAAGATTAATCATGGCAAATTTATTTTATTTTTTTGACAATGCATGCCATGTCTTCAATTGTACTATAAAATGTATTGCTAGCAATTTCGTTACAAAAATGAATTGATGGCAATTTTTTTTTATGAAAATGTCTTGCTGGTATTTTTATACTTTCATAATGTTTTGATTTTTGTTGGGGGGGGCGTAATGTCACTATTTGCCCATAGCTGGGATCATAACAGGTGCTACCACCCTAGGTCAGGATGGATCTGAGAACAATAGCAGGTAAGAGGTGGTTTCATGCTCCTCAAAACTTCCAATATTCTGATCAGTGGCCTTGCTGCCAGATATATTTTGTCAGCATTTAAATATTTTCTTTATTGCTTGACAGATGAAAGTCACTAACAATGAAAAATTGGTTTGATTGTATATCCTCACCCCCCCCCACTCCAAATGAAGAAATATATTCTGTTAAGACTTAAGGAATTATTTATTATAAATTGCTGGAAACTGGACAAACTTATTAAGTATAGTTTGTTCTGGTACAAGGCCACAAATATGGAGCACTCAGTGAGGACTGAATACACTACTAATAATCTATATGTTTAGCTTATTAACCATTACACCAAGTGCCCAATCAAGTCAAACTCTAGTGAGAAATTGGCTCATTTGAATGATATATTAGAAGAAAAAAAAAAAAAAGAAAAAAAAAAGACCTTTTTCTGTCCAAGGAAGTCAACTGATGATTTTGCTGTTCCCACCATCCAACTTTGTGCCCATCTCAACCTCACAAACACATGGCTAACTACACAAACAGGCAGCATCAGAACTACCCTGATGGACAGTCGAGGGTAAACCAGAACTGATTTACAAGGACAAGGTGTTAACATAACTTTTTGTCAATTTGTTTTATCTTACAAAATGCCCAAGACTAAAATCTCTCTTTATCATTCCCCTCTATGAAAACATGACAACAAAGTACAACTGGTAACATAATTGCCAGAATATATAATAATAAAAACAAACTAATATTCAATTATGAATCATGAGGCATCACTATTAAGAACATAATCACTTCCAATGGTAGATTTGATGGGAGTTGCTCAATGATACAGAAACAAAAACAGATTTTTTTTCACACTTTTATATCTGACAATACTAATGAAAAAGTAATATATAATAATAGTAAATAAGTATAACACTATGTTCCATATGTTCTACTGGTTGGATGATTTATGACAGTGAATCAGATTTAGCCTGTGGGCTATTGTTTATTGACACCTGTTTTAGTTGATTAATAGCAACACTTTCCCTATCAGTGTAATAATCATAATAAAAAATCCTGACATCTTAATTATAATTGTCAACATTACAAGAGCTATAAGCTATCAGTCATTAGAAGAAAAAAAACACCTCATTAGGAGAGATTAATTAATCCCATCCATAACTTATATTGTTTTAACATGAAACAAACATTTATAAACAATGACTCTACAAACAGTTTTTAACATGCTACTCCAACAAAAGTGATGACATATGGTGACTGTATTTACACTATTTATAGTCTGACTATTGTCCTCATCTTTGTTGTTATCACAGTGTATCAGCCATTGTGCCCTTCAACCTTCCTCAAGTGTATATTGATCTCGGTTTGGTTTGGTTTTAGTTTGTTTAATGACAAATAAACTCCCTATGTTTGTTTAATGGCATATCAACTCCTTATGGGTCATTTAATACCAAAATTTAATTTTCTTGGGATCTTTAGTAATATTTTTTTTTTTTTTTTTTAAAAATGTATTGCTGGTAATTTTTCTCTTCCTTTACCAATAATGTATTGCTGGTAATTTTTCTCTTCCTTTACCAATAATGTATTGCTGGTAATTTTTCTCTTCCTTTACCAATAATGTATTGCTGGTAATTTTTCTCTTCCTTTACCAATAGTGTATTGCTGGTAATTTTTCTCTTCCTTTTCCTATAGTGTATTGCTGGTAATTTTTCTCTTCCTTTTCCAATAGTCTATTGCTGGTAATTTTTCTCTTCCTTTACCAATAATGTATTGCTGGTAATTTTTTTTCTATGAAAATCCATTGCTGGTATTCTTACTACAAAGATGTATTTTTATACTTTCTTAATGTTTTGTCCCCAGTTTGGGAGTTAACTATTTACCCCATAGCTTGTACCCTAACAGGTGCTACCACCCAAGGTCAGAATGGATTCGACAACAGCAGCAATTAAGAGGTGGTTCCACACTCTTCAAAACCTCCTGATCAGAGGCCTTGCTGCTGGACGTAATTTACCATCATACCCAGAACAAATTGATCTGGGTAACCTACAGACCTATGGGACAAGCGCTTAGTGGATTAAAGCATTGGTTCATGAATTTGGTGATATAGTGGTTGTGAGTTTCAATCCCTGGCTCAAGCAGTCTGTACTTGGGTTCAGTGGAAATGGGCGAGTAATAACTGAGCATAACTATAAATAAGAACTAGACAAGATATCCCTAGACATAGGCAGTAGAACAAGAACAATCAGTTCAGAATTCCTTGTAATTTACCCAGATTAATATGCACCTGAGGAAGCCTGGGGAGCACAATGGCCGAAACATGATACAAGAAAATGAGGACAACAGTTCAAATATAAATAGTATAAATAATGATGACTCTTTATCCCAGAAATACAGACATAAAAATCTGGTGAATGTCTTGATTATATCAGACTTTTTCTTTATTGATCGATCTGCTAAGAAATTTAGTTCACTGCATTGGGCTAGACAATTTTTCTTGCAAGAATCTATCTTACATCTGTCTATATTTCTGAGATGAGGTATTATGTACACTATTTACATTATTTGGACTATTGTCCTCATCTTTGTTGCCATATTTATCACAACGTTTCATCTGTTGTATGCTCTGGCCTTCTTGTTGCAATAAATATAGCAACAAAGATGAGGACAATAGTTCAAACAATGTAAATAGTCTATCTTACATATTTATAAGTCTACCATTTGCCCATGCTTTGAATATTGCTGCCAAATCTGGTCTGATGCTCCTGCTGTATATTCAGAGATTCTTGGTAAAAATACAAAGGAGAATCTGCAATGTTATTGATCGTGATGTAGCATCTTGGCTTCACTTTTCCATTGCCATAATGCAGATTCTCTGTGCCTTTTCTATAAATATTTTCATGGTAATCATTCTGATAAACTTTCCTCTATAGTATCTAGACTTTGCGAATTTAAGTCCAGCACTAGATTGGAAGCAAGGTCTCATTATTTTACAGTTAAAATGGCTAGATTTAATCTTAGGCTCTATGCTAACTGTTTCTTCTCTTGCACTTCTCACTTATGGAACTCTCTTCTGGCTTGCTTTCCAATAAACTTTGATCTTCAAAAATTTAAATGTCAATCATTAACATCTGTCTTAATTCCTACTCTTTTATTGTTCTCTGTCCTTAATAGGATCATACTTGGTAACCCCTTACATCTTAGTGGCTTTATTGCTTTGCTTGGTGAAATTATAAAAAAAAAAAAAAAAAAAAAAATGATTAAAAGCTGGTGTTCTGTGAGTGGAATTTTCTCTTCCATTCCCCTGAGAAGCTAGGGTGGATTTATTATACAAGATATACTATTCATTAATATTTTCTTGTCCTCTAACACTAAAAATATTTTTTATATTAGCCTAGACGCAATTAAACTGATAATGTAAACTTTATCCTGGGCATTACTAGGTACTTTAATTGTTTAAATGACCTGCTCCCAAGATATATATATATATATATATATATATATATATATATACATACATACATACACACACACACATATATACATACATACACAATTAGCCAGGGGTTAGTTTCTGGCTCACTAGGGTTTTTTTGGTTTTTTTTTTTTTTTTTACACTTTATAGTGTAATGAGTACTTTTACATTTTTCTTGATGTTTTTTCTTTTGGTTAAGCATTGCAGTGTTGGAGGATTTTTTTTAGAGCTTATCAATTCTTTGTAGGTTATTTAGAGCCAAACAATTAGATTTTAAGAATTTTTTTTTTATATAAGGGTTTAGTGATACAAGTCTATTTAACTTCTAGCTGGGGGATAAGAGATGGCTTCATATCTTTTCCAAGGGTATTTGTGCATGTATATATAATAAACCCAACAATTGGAACTCAGCTCACTGATTAACAATTATGAACCATTACTCATTACACCACCCACACATCCAAGCTTTGAGCACTTAGTATTTCCTAGCAGTCACCCATCTAGGTACTGACTAGGCTCGACATTAATTAACTTTGGTGATCATATGGGAACTGGTGTTTTAACATGATCTGGC